ATAAAACAAATAAGGAGAGAAAAAACAAAAATAGTCTCATTGATAACATTGAACTGTACTACTACTACTTCTACTGTCTATGTTTGTGATTACGAAAAAAAGATTCACAAAAAGAAAATGTCTCTCTATCTGGGATACCGCCAGATTCATCTTCGCCGGATAAATCACTCTCAGCTTCACATATAACTGTCTTCTTCTAGTTCTAGAAACGCTCTGGTCGCAGTGGACTCTGGTCTCGAGGCTCGTCTTCACTAATTATCTGACAACCCATGTTACTAACTCATTGTCCTTTTCTATTCTACAGTTGCGTTAAGCTTCTGGGCGCAAGTCAAGTTCGTAAAACAAATGATCGTGGAAGTGTAATTATAAATATGCTTCATCAATAACTATTATATAATATGATCATACCATACTAAGATGATGCTCTTAGTTAAAGCGCCATTAGCTGCCGCTATTGGCCCCGCCACGATTTTTCTAGGCTTTATAGTAAGCTATCGTATGACAACGGTTCAATTGTTTTACATTTATGAAATAGGCTATTATTTTTTCTCGTATTCGTTGTTTAAAATTTAGTTTTGTTGAGATAGCATAAGAAATAGCATAAGAATGAATTAAGAATGTGTCAAATGCAAATTAATACAATCTTCGGGTTTGATGGTGCTTTTCACTTTGCTAGGTTATATACTCCTCAAAATTCAAGGATTCAAAAATTTTCACTTTCATCGTCAAGGTTGAAGCAGGATGTTCATGAGCCGATTTTGTTTTTAATGAACTTAAAAGCGTTCATCGAGCTCCTCTGCCAGGTATTCCTCTCAAGGGTCAGGCTGCTACACCAAAATCCATGTTCGATGGCTGTAAAGGAATGGTTCGCTTTTCAACCACTGCCAGTAGACTTGAAGGACTTCAAGAAAAACCCAGATCGCCACTTTAAAACATCATATTTCTTTGATATAATTAAAGCTTCAGTGGTTTAAGTAAATTACCCATATCCAGCTCGTCCAATGTATGCACCCATGACTCGCATGCTCATGATGTCTGACCAAAAGGTTACCGGAGTTTCTGGATATTCAGTCCTTATGTCAGTATTTATCATTTTCTATAGGGCCACAACTCTTCCTCGGAGGTCTCTTTGCTTTCCTTGTTAACAAGGATTTTTTACGGGTGTTCGAAGAGCAGGGACATATGACCGTCGGATGGTCATTGTTCTATCTTCTTGTTTCCAGAACCTCTGGATGTGAGTTGTTTTATCATTTCTGTTTTGAACTTTTGTGTGTTTAATCAAGATTGATAATTGGCTCTATGGACAATACCTAAACAGAATGAACTATTACAAGGGACTCATCCAAGAAGATTTTAAGGATGTCGTTGAATTCAGAAACAGACAAAGAACATGGAAACAACGAAAAAGGTGAATGAATTTTCATATTTTATCAGAACTCGTATCACACACAACACATACACATGAAGCACAATTCCCAACGCAGCGATTATCCCCGATTATTCTTCCCAATCGACATCTTCATCCGGAGGTAAAAATGGCTTAAGACAATGATCAATTTAATGGTCCTTCATTAAATGAAACTTACCAAAGTAAACCCATAGATTCTCGCGATAGGGAGAAATGAGGATCGTCTACTAGCTGCCGGTTGACCATGATTGGCTGCTGTATGTGCAGTCGTTACAGTGTCAATCTGCATACCAATCAGCCTTCCATCATCGCTCCAACAACCTCCACCGCTATCACCCTTAAAAGAGCCACTCGAGCCCCGAAAGCGCATTCTTAGTGTTATATCACTAGAAATCACTCCTGGCAAGAATGATAATTGCGAAGTTCCGCTATGGATGGTCGAGTAGCCCATCTGAAAGTTTTTCTGTGTGCTTAGTAGAGGAATTCCTTACCAGGGTATACTTCATGCCTATTTTTGGCTCAACTGCTTCCATAATGAGATTCTTATCAGAGAGCTGAGCAGATTTAGATTGGAGAAGAATGAAATCCAATAATTCATTAATCAGGACAATGGAAGTATCAACCATCATTTTCGGATTTTTATCGGAAAACAGTTTGATGCAGTCGCCTATTTTGAGGTTCGCATTGGCTCCATGACGAACAGTGGCTGCTAGAGTGTTCGTCAACGGGATCGCTATTATTTTCCTGTTGTCTCCTCTCGTATAAAACAATGCATATTGTCCTATTCGAGAAACCACGTGATCATGCACAGGTAGCGGGTCAAACTCGGGCAGAATCTTCGGTCGCTTAATTAGTGTAGATCCTAAAGCGAAATTTAAATATGCCTATAGAATATCAAACCTTTAAGGTCAGCAGCCGTTATCGGCCTGGAAGGAGCTTTATTCGATTTCACAGTGAAGCGCAAGTCCGGAAACTCCTCCGGTAGTACGAAAAAAGTCCCCTTG